TTCACTATTAGTGTATAGAAATGCCTCAGATTTCTTGGGGTTAATTTTGTATCCTGCTACATTGCCAAATTCATGTATTAAGTCTAGTAGCTTTTTGATGGAGTCTCTAGGATTTTGTATGTATAATATCATGTCGTCTGCAAATAAGGATAGTTTTACTTCCTCTTTTCCAATTTGGATGCCTTTTATTTCTTCTTCTTGCCTAATTGCAATGGCTAACACTTCCAGTACTATGTTGAACAGGAGCGGTGAGAGGGGGCACCCCTGTCTTGTTCCTGTTCTTAGGGGGAATGGTGTTAGTTTTTGTCCATTGAGAATGATGCTGGCTGTGGGCCTGTCATAAATGGCTTTTATTATGTTGAGGTATGATCCTTCTACTCCCACCTTACTGAGAGTTTTGGCCCCCTGTTTAAAAAGTTTGAGGACCTCTGGCCTAGAGAAAGATAGTCAGAGAAGCCCTCTGGGCTTGCTAGGAACCATATCGATGATGGCAGCATCACCAGATTTAAAAAATGTTGGGCCATACTCCAGCTCTTTTCCAGAATGACAGTTGATCTCCTTCAGCTCAGCAAATCTGCAGGGAATGTGAGCTGTGACAATCCAGCACAGGTGCATATCCAGCACTAATCTGGCCTGGATGGTTCAGGATAATCACCTGAACTGAGCAGCCAGCGGCTTCCAATGGTGAGTGCCACAACCAAGTTCTTTGATAGACATGTTCTTTTTTTAAATATATTTTATTGATTTTTTACAGAGAGGAAGGGAGAGAGATAGTCAGAAACATCGATGAGAGAGAAACATCGATTAGCCGCCTCCTGCACATCCCCCACCGGGCATGTGCCCGCAACCCAGGTACATGCCCTTGACCAGAATCGAACCTGGGACCTTTCATTCCGCAGGCCAACGCTCTATCCACTGAGCCAAACCGGTTTCGGCGATAGACACGTTCTTGACATTGAAGCCCACACTGTCCCCAAAAAGAGCTTCACTAAAAGTTTCATGGTGCATTTCAACAGGCTATATTTCAGTGTAACGTTGACTGGAGCAAAGATGACCACTATGCTGGATTAAAGAACATCGCTCTCCAATAGGCCCACAGAGACAGTACCGATGCCACCGATTTTATAGACATCCTAGGGGGGCAGACACAGGGGCTTGTCAGTTGGATGAGCTGGTGGTAGGATGCAATCCACAGCTTCAAGCATTGTGGTTCCACTGGCATTGCCATGTTTACGGGTGATTTTTCATCCCTTCAACCAAGGCAACATTAGCACTTGGCTCCAGCATGTTGTCAACATTCCAACCAGAAACTGGCACAAATGCTACTGTGTCAGGGTGGTAGCCAATTTTCTTAATGTAGATGCTGACTTCTTTAACAATTTCCTCATATCTTTCAGGCTGTAGGGCAGCTCAGTGGAAGCCAGAAGGGCATGGTCACCGGTCTGCCCATTCTTGGAGATACCTGCTTCAAATTCACCAACACCAATAGCAACAATCAGGACAGCACAGTCAACCTGAGATGTGCTAATAATCATGTTTTTTTTTAAAATATATTTTATTGATTTTTTTACAGAGAGGAAGGGAGAGGGATAGAGAGTCAGAAACACCGATGAGAGAGAACCATCGATCAGTCGCCTCCTGCACATCCCCCACTGGGGATGTGCCCGCAACCCAGGTACATGCCCCCGACCGGAATCGAACCTGGGACCCTTCAGTCCGCAGGCCGATGCTCCATCCACTGAGCCAAACCGGTTTTGGCGATAATCATGTTTTTGATGAAGTCTCTGTGTCCTGGGGCATCAATGATGGTCACATAATAGTTGCTGGTCTCAAATTTCCACAGGGAGATATCAATGGTGATACCACCCTCATGTTCAGTTTTCAGTTTATCCAAGGCCCAGGCATACTAGAAGGAGCCCTTTTCTGTCTCAATCACCTCCTTCTCAAAATTTTCGATCGTTCTTTTGTCGTTCCCACCACACTTGTAGATCAGATGGCCAGTAGTGGTAGACTTACCAGAATCTACCTGTTCGCTCATGACAAAGTTGAAATGAATCTTTTCCTTTCCCATTTTGGCTTTGATTTAGTGATGGTTTTCACCACATCTGTGTTCTGGTGGCAAACCCATTGCGAGAAAGCTTCAACCTTTCTTTTATACTTGTTTTCCTTCTACCTGTACTGTTCTTCATATTCATATACTGATTTTTATTTTCTTTTTGGGTGGCTGGATGGGTGGGGTATTTTAATTATGGAAATGGGATCGTATAGTACCCTTCACTCAGCCACCAATTTTCTCACCTAACAATACCAGGACAATAGTTACAGGTCCTACATTCTTTTTAATGCTTTGCATAATGTTCCACCATATATATGGGTACACTCTTTTTCACTTCCTTCACCTTGGAGCCCATCCCAGGTCGCCCTCATTTTCCCTTTCACATAACATCATGTACCCATTCATGTCTTACCCAACAATCCCCGGAACATCCTAGTAGCGATCACTCAATAAGTATTTGGAGCTCCACTGGTCTGTTTTAGACAGGGATTAGCTGTGTGCATTGTTTGAGAGGGAGTGATTAAAGGGACAAAAGAGGACCTTAGTGAAGAAATAAGGTGTTTCATCCAAACAGATGGGAAGGAAGGAGAGCTGGGCGAGCTTCCTCCGGTGCCTTTGGTGTCTCCTTGAAGTAGGGTAGACTTTTTGGAGCTCCTGGAGGGATGGGTGGAACGGAGGTGTCAGGGTGCTGGCAAAGCGGGGGGAACCTGAGCGGGTTCCCATTGGCTAATCAGCGAGATATGCAAATTAACTTCCAGCCAAGATGGCAGCTGGCAGCCAGGCAGCTTAAAGCGAACATGAGGCTTGCTTGCTTCAGTGACGGAGGACTCCAACGTTCCCCGCCTCCCTTGCCGGCCTCTGAACTTGCAGTTTGAAACATAGTTACAAATATAGAAGGTGCCCCGGAGATGTGCCCACTTGAGGAATGGGCCGTAGAAGGGGGACCCATGCGGGCGGGCAAGCACTTTCCAAGCGTCCCTGCAGCCCCTGTCTCGGAAGCCTGGTGGTAGAGGAGCCCTCTCGCCGCCTTCCCCGCCGCTCCTTTGGGGGGCCGGTCCCCCGGTTTGTCTTAGAACCACAGGCCGCTTTCGCTCTGCAAATGACAGGCGCCCGCCGACTCAGCACGTGGAGCCGTGAGCCCGTCTGCTTCCCTCACCGGGGCGAACCCCCGTCCCCTCTCCGCTTTGTTGCAGCAGGCCTGCGCTCAGGCCCCTGGCTTGCACAATTTCCCTGCCTAGGGTTGCTGCCCTGCTGAAATACTGCACTCTCTCTACTTTCAGTCTTTGTGTGCGTTTGCTTCCTGTTCGTTTGCGCTGCTTTGTTTCTTACTCCCTTTAAAACGGCTCTTTGGGATCAGTGTCCTGTCTACACTAAGGAGACAACAAATCTAGGCAAAAATGGCTGCCCCTTTATTTAAAAATGTATGCTGGACAGACCCATCTCCCCTGTTCCCATGAGTTGGGCACAAAAAAGGTTGAGCAGGCCCATTGGTGCCTCCACAAAGAACTGTGAGAATCTTTGGGCATCTGGCAAATGAATGTCAGCTGGCAAGTTAATTCACTGCCACTGTTGTCCGAGGTCAGTGTTTGTGTCCAGACGCAGAATTCTCTCTTCACTGCAACTCTTACTGGCCTTCCCCTATCCAGGCTTCCCTAAATTGTTCATAATAGCCTTGAGTAACAACATCTTGTTATTGCTTAATGGTCTTTCAAAAACAACAAAACCCACAAAGCTGGTAAGAGTGAAATACACTGTTCCTTTTTTTTCCCTCCCTAGCCGTCATTGGAGCCGGAATTGGTGGCACCTCAGCAGCCTATTATCTGCGGCAGAAATTTGGGAAAGATGTGAAGATTGACCTGTTTGAAAGAGGAGAGGTGGGGGGCCGCCTGGCCACCATTACTTTACAGGGGCAAGAATATGAAGCAGGGGGTTCTGTCATCCATCCTCTAAATCTGCACATGAAGCGTTTTGTCAAGGACTTGGGTATGTAATTTGGTCTTAGAGCTTTCTGTGTGACCATCCACGGATATTTTGATCAGATAGGGAACTTTTCCACCTTGTTCATTGTCTTTTACAGACAAGTTGGTGAAACTATTCCCTCACTTTCCTTCTAGCAGTTGGTACTGCCTTAGTTAGGAGGCACTCCCCTGTAATGGGATGCTAGTTATCAGTATCTTAAGTTATCTGGAATTACAGCCATGGTGTTGGGGGGGATGGGGATGGTAGCTGTTGTCAGTTCTTCAACCTGCGGGTTTCTGTTGAATCAAAGAATGGTTCGGGTTAGCAGAAACCTAGTGAGCTCGTAGGGGGAAATGAGACTCAGAGGCTTGTGTCTGGCTTCACGTCACTCACACAGCTATGGGTACAGACATGTGCTTAGAAACCAGAAATTTGACTACTTTCCTACCAGCATAGAAGCTGGACAGGGTGTGAGGGAAATCTGGCAGGCCTCTGCAGGCTCTTTTCTCAAGGAATATTGGGTAATACCGGCCTCCTCCCAGTTATCTGAAATAGCCAGTTATGCAAAGCACTATTTTCACAGTCCTAGGATGCCTCCTTTCCCGTAGCTACCTTCCGTGTCTCCTGTGGATGCTTCCTGAGCCTCTTTTCTCCATGAGGGCGATTTGGAGACATTTATGCCAGGAGCAATTTATGCTGCAAAGATTCATGCCTGCCCTTCCTGTTTTTAAGTTGAATTCAGTTGCTACTCTACCTTTTTCCTTTGAGTTTTTAGTCTCTTCAGTCTAAAGATAGCCAGCCTAATTTTGATATATCGGCGTGACCCATCTTTAGGAGAATTTGCTTTTGGACAGTGTGGTGAGTGTATCATATCACTTATTCTAAAGATAGTGCTGCTTGGGTATATCTCCTGAGAACCAGGGGATGCCTGGAATTCACTTCAAAGTGTCCCCAGTAAGTTCAGATTACCTTTCATGTGATCAGCATGGACACTACTGACTTGGCTACCCTTTCTCTGTTTTTGCAGGTCTCTCTACTATTCAGAGTTCTGGTGGCCTCATAGGGGTCTCTAACGGAGACACTCTGGTGTTTGAGGAGAGCAGCTGGTTTATAATTAACATAATTAAGCTAATTTGGCAGTATGGATTTCAGCCCCTTCGAATGCACATGTGGGTAGAGGATGTATTAGACAAGTTTATGAGGTAATGTTTTCCCCTTCCATTTAACCCTAAGACCTTTTGGTTAGATGATCATTAGGAATTATGGTTTCTTGGAACAGTTCTCTACCTAACTGGAAGGCTTATTTGTCAGGCAAAATGTTTTGTATAAACTACGATCCACTTGGAAATTAAAAGGGCAGCTTATTTTTGCTTCTGTACATGTACTTTGCAAGTGCTTGTTTATTATTGCTTGACACTCTTAAACGCTCTACAAATGTTAACCTGAATTCTCATAACAGCTCTCGAGGTAGGTACTATTTATTAGCTTCTTTTTGCAGCTATGGAAGGTGGAGCATGGAGAAGTTTCAAGTGTGCAAGTATATCCCGCTATTAGTGGTAGAGCCAGAGATTCTACCCGGGCAGGCTGACTCTAGTCCTCACTCTTGTTCACTTCACTGTGCTGGTGTTACGTATCAGATGAATGCGGTCATATGTGCAAGAGCTTGTAGAAAGGATCAGAAAAGTGGACTTTAATTGTGACATGATGTTTTAGTGAGCCAGCAACCTGAGGTAGGGTATCAGTTCTGTGCCCTAAGAATTTAAATTAAGATAATAAATTCCAGCACTGTTCCGGGAGTGCCTCTTTTTCTTTCTTTTTTTTATATTCTGTATTCTCAGAATTGTCTGTGTGTATGAACGCACATTACTTTGGTAATTGGGGAAAAATAACATAAAATAACCAGTGTAATTTTGAAAAATGTAACCTATTTCTTTTAAGGCTGTTGGCATGTGCTAATTTTTATGCTGGTTTACTTAAAATTTTTAGTTACTTATTGATGAGAGAGAGAGAGAGAGAGATCAGTTTGTTGGTGCACTTATTAATACATTCATTGGTTGACTCTTGTATATGCCCTAACCAGGGATGGAACCACAACCTTGGCAATGGGAATGATGCTCTAACCAACTGAGTTACCTGCCAGGGCTGGTTTACTATTTTTATTTTATCTTATTAATTAATTAATTAATTAATTAAATTTTTATTGTTGAAAGTATTACAACAGTGTCCCCTTCCCCCCATTGACCCCGTCTAGCCCACCCCCATCTCTCACCTCCCACCCCAGGTTGGTTTACTAGATGCTAGAGATTTTGAACTTATAAATGCTATTAATATTTGATTACTATGACTATTCCAATATAATAAAATAATTATTAAAAAGGTGAAAATTATGGGGGTTAATGGGGGGGATGAGGACACATTTGTAATACCTTAACCAAAAAAAAAAAAAGGTGAAAATTACATGTCATATGTGCCTGCTAAGTGCCTGGCACTCTTCTAGGTCCCGAGGATGTATAACCTAGAACATGTCCCTGCCCTCAAAGAATATACATTTAGTAGAGCGACAAGCAATAAATCCATAACTAAGAAGATATATAGAGGCATGGGGACCTGGGGCTTGGGGTGGTCAAGGGGAAGGAGGGAGGATAGAGTAGGGGATGAGCATTTCGCTGCAGTTGGTCGCAGGGCCACCAGTGGAGAGCTGTGCCGGGAGGGCCTGGGTCCCATGGCAGAGGCACCATGAGCCGCCAGGCCTGCTGCTCAACCGGGGAATCCTCGGAGTGACCTCAAGGTCCCATCAGCCGTGTTCGGACCTGGTAACTTACGAGCTTAAAATTAAATTTAGTTCTGAAAAAATGCAGCTTTTTTATTTGAGACAAACCATGTTGAAGACTGAGACTGGAGTTTAACCTTTGAGGATATAGTAAATCTTTGGGAAAGTCTGTAATTTATGCAGCTAAAATGTGAATCCTGAGATGGAATCTCTAAAAGGCCAGTACAAGGGATAGATATTGGTGGAAGCATTTACACCCAGGCAGCTTGAAGCGTTCCAAATGGATCCTGCCACTGAGAATTCAACTTGGCAGTCCACAGTGGGAGATACAAGAGTGCTGTGATAATATACAAGACAGGGTTCTTTTAACATGGATTTCATGAAATGAATGAAGACAATAGGTTTCTTACCCAACACAAATGGACAGTGGATTTGACTTTCTAAAGACTTTTTGTATCATTAAAACAAGTTCATTTTTGACATTTGAAGATGAAAAGATGGCACATTAACAGAGATGATAGTTTGTATGCCTGGAATTTTTTTCAGTTTGATTTGTATGACCTTGTGGAGTGTTAACTTTAATAAAATTTCTAATACTTAAAAAGAAAGAAAATAAGTAGAATTTGTGTAGAGATAGGCAGTCACTCTTTATTTATTTATTTTTTAATATATTTTTAATTGATATTTTACAGAGAGGAAGGGAGAGAGACAGAGAGCCAGAAACATTGTTCCAATGGCATCAGATGCGGTGCCACCTGTATGTATAATTCTTTTCTTTTTAAAATATATTGATTTTAGAGACAAGAGAGGAAGGGTGGGAGAGAAAAAGAAACATTGATTTGTTGCTTCACCCATTCATGCATTCACTAGTTGATTTAAAAAAAAATACATTTATTGATTTCGTGTGCAAGCTCGTTCAGCACCTTTAGGAAATATATATATTATTGATTTCAGAGAGGAAGGAGAAGGAGAGAGAGATAGAAACATCAATATGAGAGAGAATCATTGATTGGCTGCCTCCTGCATGCCCCCTGGGATTGAGCCCGCAACCAGGGCATGTGCCCTTGACTGGAATCGAACCTGGGACCCTTCAGTCCGCAGGCTGACGCTGTATCCACTGAGCCGAACCAGCTAGGGCTCACTAGTTGATTTTTTTAAGAATTTTTATGTATTAAAAAAAAACTTATTGATGAGAGAGAGGGAGAGAGAGGGAGAGAGAGAGAAGATAGGTAGATAGATACATTGCATTGTTGTTCAATTCATTTATGTATTATTCATTGGTTGATTCCCTGACTGGGAATCGAACTGGCAACCTTTGGTGCACAGGACAGTGCCCAGTGAACTGAGCCACATTGGCCAAGGGCCTAATTTTCCTTTTTTATTTACTTTCCTCCTTAATATTTATCAGCCTCTAAATTATGTAATTTCCTCACATTCATTTATGTTTTTATTACCTGTTTCCCTAACTAGAACACAAGGTCCAATTAGGGCAGGTTTTTTTTTTCTTTCTCTGTCGTGTTGACTGACCTCTGCATCTTTGACACCTAGAACATTGCCTGAATCAAAGTTGATGCTCCATAAATAGTTGAGTGAATAAATGAATGAATAAATGTTAAGAGTTATACAAATGTAGTTTGAAAAGAAAAAGAGCTGTGTAAGCAATCTGATTAGCAGAAACTGCCAGTTACATGTCTAACTTTTTAAAAAAAATATGTTTTTATTGATTTTTAGAGAGAGAAGAAGGGAAAGGGACAGAGAGATAGAAAGATCAGTGATGAGAGAGAATCACTCATCGGCTGCCTCCTTGCATGTCCCACACTGGGGACTGAGCCTGCAACCTGGGCATGTGCCCTGACCCGGAATCAAACTATGACCTCCTGGTTCATAGGTCAGTGCTCAACCACTTAGCCATACCACTGGGTGGGGAATAATTTTTTATAACATTATATGTTATTTTTGTCATGCTGACCATTAGCCACTGGGAACTTTACATTAGCCACTCTTCATTTTATGAGATATTCATTCTATTATTTTTCTAAAAGGACTCAGTTCATCCTATTTTTTCCAAGTTCCTAGGACCTAGAGGCCAAATGATATGTTGGGAAGGAGTTATTTAGGTTCTCAGTTTTGGCACTTATATTATTTTTCCCCACAAAAATTTATTCAACATTTTGTTCAGTACACTGGTAGACAGTAGGTAATATTAAAATGGGTATGACATTGTCCCCTGCTCTCTAAAAATATACAGTTTATTTTGGAGAAGAAAGTTGATGTAAAACTCTTCTCTTGATCACTGATAAAGATATTTCTTTGGCACTTATTTCTTCCCTTTTTTTCATATATTTGTGCATACCTTATTACCTGTTTCTAACTGTAAACTCCTTGAGGGAAAGGAACCATGTCTTTCTCATTTTTGTATCACTGGGAATCTGAAAAATTATGTATTGACTTACTGTATGAACTAATTTATATGGACATTCTTTTAAGTCCATAAAGTCCATAAAGTACAGAGATATGTCAGGTGGTATTTTCTAAAAATTAAATCATACCATGTAGTGTCTAAGTGCTGAATGAGAGGCATAGTGGCCAGGGTGCTGTTAGGACTGATCAGATAATTGAATTGATACCCCCTCCCCTGGGAACTGACCTTCAGATCACTTCACAACTGACCTTCCCTTTCACTTAGATCACATTCCACTTGCTAAGACCATTATCTTTCCCAGGATCCAGACCTGCCCAGAGAGTTCCCTGCCGAAAAAGCCCGCCTAGAGTCCCTTAAAACCTCTGACTCCCCATCCTTGGGTGCTGGTGCCATTTTGGGGCTCAGCCCATCTGGTTTTCCAGATGACCTAATAAATTTATAATTCCTTACCACTTTTGGCCTTGTGTGTACCTCCTTTGGCTACCCTAATAGGTGCTAAATTTTATGGGATTTGGGATTTTATGATATCACTGTGGACTGAGAGGTTGGGCAAGACTTTGCAGAGGATGTGTGATTCAAGCTCTGAAGGAAGGGTAGCTGTTCTCTGTTTAGGAATGGAAACTGTATTCCAGTTGGAGGAAAGAGGTAGTACAATATTAGGGAGTAATATGTAGAGCACTAGGGGCCCAGTGCACGAAATCATGCACCTTGAAAGGAACTATGGGCTGCAAGGCTGCGGTGGGCACAGGGGCAGGTCTTGGCCCATCCTCTGCACCCCCACCCGGCCCCTCCCACTGCGGTCCCTGGTCCCCTCTCTGCCAACAGCCCTTGCTCCTGCTGCCACTCCCACGCACTGACTGGGCTGGCCCCGCTCGCACCTGCTGATGGTGCGGAGTGATTGGGGCCAGCGCCAGCAGTGGGTGTGAGCAGGGCCGGTGCTGTCACCAGTGCAAGTGGCGGCTGCTGCCCTGATCACCCCTCAGGAGCAGGGGGAGGTGGAGAAACCCTGAGGAGCGATTGGGGCCTGCAACTGCTACTTGCACATACTGACGGCACCGAGCAATCGGGGCTGGTGCTGGCAGTGGGTGTGAGCAGTAGTTCTGGCACTGGCAGTGGGTACGAGTGGGGCCGTTGCCATTGCCAGCAACAGGTGTGAGCACTGGGCGGGACCATGGTGCACGGGAGCAAAGAATTTTCAGTGACCACCAGAGGCTTGCCCCCGATGACAGCAACTGGTGCCCTGCCTTAGTCTGGCACCCCTGCTCACCTGCTATACCATCCTGCTGAGGCCGACACCCGCCATGTTCCACACGTGCCCCCCTGGTGGTCAGTGCATGTCATAGCGACCGGTTGTTCCGCTGTTCTGTCTATTTGCATATTAGGTTTTTATATATATAGATAGATATTTAGAGACTGGTGAATGGGTCAGGTGTGCTCAAGTTGAGGGGATGAGTATGTGTGTATATGTGGGGCATTGAGGGCAAAGTGGGCAAGTTGTGCTTGAGCCTTCTACTTGACGTGTGGTTTTTTATTTAAAATTTTTTTTTTTTAAAAAATTGACTTTTAGAGAGAGAGGAATGAAGAGGGGGAGAGAAAAACATTGATGTGAGAGCAAAACATCTATTGGATGCCTCCTGCAAGCCCCCTACTGGGGATCAAGCCCACAACCTAGGCAAGTGCCCTGACTGGAAATCGAACCGGCAACCTTTCAGTGCACAGGAAGACGCCCAACCAACTGACCATACTGGCCAGGGCTCACAAGTTCTTTTAAAACTTTGTTTCTTTACCTGTAATTTAGAGCAAAGGAATTAGACTTGAGTTTGGCTTTAAAATCTGTGACTTAAAAAAAAAAAAAGTCAGGACTTTTAATTAGTAAGCAGCATTAAGCAAGATGTGTTTTGAATTTAAGTGGGTGGATTATAAAATAGAAGAGGTATTTTAGGGCTTCTGAGAGATTATTGGAAGAAACTAGAAGCAGGTAGATCAGTTACTAATTTTAGTAGTTTGAATATAAATCCTGACTCAAGAACAGGAAAATGAGATTGATAAGGTTTCCTTCTTGGGTGGGAGAAGCAGAAGGGAGAAGTAAAAATGTTTAAGTTTGAAACTGAATGAACTGAGGATGACATGTAGGATGTTAGGTGTCTCCTGTTATTTTTGTTTGGGGTAGGGATTGGGTGGAGAGGATTAAGCCTGGTGGAAAGATAAATTATAATTTGAGACATGTCTAAATCTTACTGGAGGATACAATGATGAATGAGAATAAGATGTACCCCCTTTTTTATTTTTATTTTTAAATCCTCACCCGAGGATATTTTTTCCATTGATTTTTAGGGAGAGTGGAAGGGAGAGGGAGAGACAAACTCTGATGTGAGAGAGACACATCGATTGGCTGCCTCCCACATGCCCGTGTCCAAGGCCAGGAGCCTGCAACCAAGGTACGTGTCCTTGACCGGAATCGAACCTGGGACCCTTCAGTCCGCAGGCGACGCTCTATCCACTGAGCCAAACCGGTTAGGGCCCGTACCCACTTCTTTAAAGGTGCTCCTGGTGACTATATTAATGCAGAAGAGTCTATACAAAGGACAGTGGACTTTCAGAGGAGGCAGAGGGAGGGCTGAGAGCTTCTGGGATATGTGGAGAAGATGGTGGCTGAGGTGCGTCTCACATGATAAGTAGGAACCCATCAAAGAGAAACATGAAAGTCAGTGATTCTTATGGTGCTATTTCCCTTATTTATGCACATCTTGTTTTGTGTTTAATGGCCATTCTCTTTCTTTTTTTTAAAGGATCTACCGCTACCAGTCTCATGACTATGCCTTCAGTAGTGTAGAAAACTTACTACATTCTCTAGGAGGGGACGACTTCCTTGGAATGCTTAACCGGACATTTCTTGAAACCTTACAGAAAGCAGGTTTCTCTAAGAAATTCCTTGATGAAATGATTGCCCCTGTCAACAGGCTCAATTACGGCCAAAGCATGGACATCAATGGCTTTGTAGGTAAGCCAAGGCTTGGAAAGGTTATAGAATTGGTTCACAGAGGGGCGTACCTGATGTTATGGTTACTTCTGACCTAAGCCGTGAGTTGGAGAAGACTACCTTTCTCTGTGAAACCTCAGTCATTGTTGGCAAAATTGTGTAAATGTAGATGTGCATTTTTATGGGGAGAGTGTCCTTAGTTTTCATTAGTTGAATGGTTCTCACCTGGAGGAGATTTTGCCCCCAGGGGCCATTTGGCAATGTGTGGAGACATTGGGAGTAGAACTCACCTAATTGGGAAGGGAGAGTGGGTGGAGGGCTCCTTACCGAGCTAGAATTAAAACACTTTTTTTTTTCCTACTGCTGACAGGGGCAGTGTCACTAGCTGGTGCTGATTCTGGCCTTTGGGCAGTAGAAGGTGGCAATAAACTTGTTTGTTCAAAGCTCCTTCAGGCTTCCAAAAGCAACCTTATAACTGGCTCAGTAATGTACATAGAGGAGAAAACAAGAACCAAGCAGACAGGTGAGCTTGAATTTCTATTTTATTGTTCCTGATTTCCCCTGTAGAAAATAATTGCTCAGGGAGAAAAAACTCTCTTCCTCCATTTCTCACTGTTCCAAATGATGGAATTTTAAGTTGTATGTGTTGTGCCATGTGGAAATATTCTTAAATGTACTCAAGTACGGTGGCATGATTCCTTGGATTTAAAAAATTTTATTCTCAAAAGTAAATTTTCCTTATTTTGTACTTGTATTATTTTTATTCTGAGTAGGAAATTGGCCTCAGTTTGGGACAGTTATCCTAATAGGTAAAGTCTTTTTTTTTTTTTTAGAGAGAGAGATAGAAACATCAATTTGTTGTTCTTATTTATGCATTCATTGGATAAAGTTTTTAATTCCTTAGGACTATAAATGATTAAGAAGATATAGAATTTTTTTTATAGAATTATTTTTAGGAGGCATAAAGTATAGTATGTTAGAAACACTAAAGAAATGTATGCTTCCTTATTTCTTCTTCTAGGAAATCCCACAAAGATGTATGAAGTGGTCTACCAAACTGGATCTGAGACCCGTTCAGGCTTTTATGACATCGTCTTGGTGGCCACTCCATTGAATCGAAAAATGTCCAATATAACTTTTCTCAACTTTGATCCTCCAATTGAAGAATTCCATCAATACTACAAACAAATAGTGGCAACTTTTATTAAGGGGAAGTTGAATTCAACTTCTTTTAGCTCCAGAGCCTTAGATGAATTTGGTCCCAGTACAATCTTAACCACTGATAATTCACATTTGTTTATTAATAGCATTGGGATTGTGTCCCCTGTAAAAGAAAATAATAATCCTCAACCATCTACAGATAGAGCTTTTGTTTGGAAGACCTTTTCCCCGGAAACGCTCACTGACGAGCAACTTCTAAAGCTCTTTTTGTCCTATGAATATGCTGTGAAGCAGCAGTGGCATGCATATCCTTACTATAAGCCTCCAGATAAATGCCCCCCCATCATACTCCATGACCGACTTTATTACCTCAATGGCATCGAGTGTGCAGCAAGTGCCATGGAAATGAGTGCCATTGCAGCCCACAATGCCGCCCTCCTTGCCTATCATCGCTGGAACGGGCACACAGATATGATTGACCAAGAGGATTTGTATGAGAAACTGAAAACTGAACTATGAGATAACACTTTCATTCCCACCCCCCTCCCCTTCCTGGTTCCAAATGGAATATCACTGGCAAAAAAGAACACAATCTGAGCAGAGATGATTTTGAATCAGATATTTTGCCATTATCATTGTTTAACAAGAGTAATCCCAGTGAGTCATGGGGAAATACAAAGGTCTAAGTGTGAAGGTGTAACTATTGTATTTATGCCATCTCCAAAATGTGTGTGTAATTTTCAGAGTACATTTATTAAAGCTGGCGACTGTGAAACAAAGGAAGGACTTAGGGTAGAAGCAAAAGGACTTAGGGTAGAAGGAAAAGGAGAGAGCCCAGGTGGTGCTCTGCTTTGGTTCCCGAGAAACATTATGGAAGTGAGCCAAGGCAGAGCTGCTGTTAGCTCACCGAAAAGTCAGAAAAAAGGGGCCTGGGAGACGGGTTCAGGGTGTTAGTCCTGGATGAACTGCTGCTGCCCATTGCTCCCCTGGTTGCAGGTCTTGTGGGGACCCTTAGAGTTTAGGAGGGAAAAGTAAAGATGCACGCCTGAGATGGAAAAAAGGCATGGGCGTGTTCCAGAGAGAGCCTGCTCCAAAATTTTGTAACTCTTAAGGTCCGTGAACAGTGTTTTCCAAACTTGTCTGATCATAAGAATCATCTGGAATTTGTTAAACATATGGAATTCCCTAGTTCCTTTGGAGAATGATTCCATAGGTCTAGAGGTGAGACCTTGGATTTTGAACAAAACTTTAGAGCATTTTAAGCTGAACACTTGAGGAAGAACTTAAAGACGTATCTTTTAGTTGGAGACTAGTTCATTTGTGCTTACAGCTGGTGTGATCTTTAGTCACATAGTGAAATCTGCTATGGGAGCTGGTATATTATGCCTAGTTTTAGTAATTTATACCATTTTCCCATCCAAGTACTAACCAGGCCCGACCCTGCTTAGCTTCCGAGATCAGACCGGCGCGTTCAGGGTGGTATGGCCGTAGACAGTACTTTATACCATTTTCGAAGTAAATGTGCCCATTACTGAAGCCTTGACTTTTAGAATGATGCACTTTTGATTGCTTCTGCCTTTTTCTTTTTCCTTAGGAATGAAATTCAGAAGTCTGAGTAGTATAACTTTAAGATGTCACACAAAAACGCCAGTAAAATGAAAAGCAAATATAGGCTATTGATGTGAAGAAATTGGCATTCTATTATCAAAACCTCACCAATGGAGCTTTTATATATTTGTACCTTTTAAAAATGTTTTTATTGATTTTATAGAGGAGGGAGAGGGGGAGAAATATTGATGTGAAAGAGAAACATTGATTGGCTGCCTCCAACATGCCCCCTACTGGGGATTGGACTCAACTGGGGCACGTGCCCTGACCAGGAATCAAAGCAGACTTTCTGGTGCAGGAACAACCCTCAACGAACTGAGCCATACAGGCCAGGGCTCACCTATGGAACTTAAAAAAATACAGATAGATTCCCCCCCCCCCCATTAGAGATTCTAATTTAATAGATTGAGGATAGGACCTCACCACTGTAGCTTTTTAAAGTTTCTAATGTGCAACCTGTGTTGAGAATCACTGTTTTGGGCAACTGAAATGTCTCCAAAGGGTTTGTAGTGCCTTAAAATTGTCACAAGAAATTCAATCCATAGTCAAAGCAGATTCATTTTGTGAAGAATGAGTTCTCAATGAGAAAGCATTGACAGTTTAACAGCAGACAACGGAGATTAGTTATTCTAGAGCAATTAACGAGTAGGACATTCAGAATGACACCATACTTGATCAAATCCAGCTTATGTTTCAACTTCTTAAGCTACTGTACCATTTTGAGAAACTGGTTGCTGAAACCTTAAGATGGTAGTCTCAACCTTGACTGCACTTTGAAATCACCTAAACTTGAGAACCAGTTCTACATCTACTGTACACTACAAAGATCATGAATGACTGTCAAGGTAGAGATAGAACAAGTAAAAGCTTATGAATTCAAAGTAACTGCAAGAAAGTTAACATGTACTCTTAAAAAATATTTAGTTTGTCAAAGGGTCAGTTTTCTAATTTTATTTTTAAAATGTTATTTTTTTCCACATTGTTTTAATGAAGACAATATGTAGAGAATGTATATGCTACACTAATACATACTAATTTATCATCTGTAGACTTATTTTGCAATGGGATATATTTTTACTTATAAGAATTTTTTCCATCAGGGAATCTGTTGGAAATTGCTTCCTCAAAGAGCAAAACAGGTTATCTGTATATCAAGCATATTAGTTTTAATAGTTATAGCATTAAAGAATTTTTTAATTGGTTGAAAAATAGCTCATTTACTCATCTTTTTACGGAAGAGACTGGTAAAAATGATGCAGCGGCAGGATGAAACAGTTCTGCAACCTGAGTACGCATTGGACTCACCTGAATTTTTCAATAGGTTTGGAGTGGCATATAAAACTTTGCATTTCTAAGTTACAAGGTGATGTTGCTGGTCTAGGAACCCTACTGAGAACCCATTCTAGAATTCAGCTCTATGTGGTTGTAAAAAATCAAACCTATCAACTTCAGTGAAGATTTAAAATGTATTGGAATAAAAATGGAAAAAATTGGAAAATGTTGGACATCACACCAACTCTCAAGTTGATGCCTCTAGCTGTTTTGGCAAAACACATTTCCTGTAAGTAGGAATACCATTTTAGATACATTTTTACCTTTTAATAGGTAAATGTACTCTTAAATGCACTCAAGTACAGTGGCATGATTCCTTGGATTTAAAAATGGTTCTCAACTGGAGAACAACTGTGTTGTTTTCCAAATACCTTATGTACTCACTTGTATGTACTCCATTCTCTAGTTTTAAAGTGACTCAAAGAGCAGGCCTCCTAAGCATTTATTAGGCTTCTTAAGGTTAGGTTTATGATATACAGCTATGAGTAATATAGCCTTCCTCAGTTTGTGCACTCTCACACTTGAACTAGATGAATGTATTATGGGCAGTATTATCACTACTGCACAAAGAACAATACACTGGAATATTTTTCTCTGGGTTCTATTTCAGCTCTTATATTCAAAATATTTTCCCATTTATGTCCAAAATAAACAGCAACATAATTACCTCCTGTTTTCTATTGTCCTCTACTCGGAATGTATATGTGCTTGGAAAAGCCAGTGTATATCAAAATTACTACAAGAATTTTGAAAATTACAATTAATGTTTCAGAAGAAACCTACTCAGTTTGCAGGTTCTTTTATCTCTATTCAATGTTAAAAGATGGGAAAAAGGCATCCTTTTATATTAATGCATAAAAACCTTTGGGAAAAAAACATCAGTGTTAACTAGGTATAGTTCATATAATAAAGAGCTAATCTAATTTTTAAGTTCAGAACATCTGAGAAAGCATTTTTTGACCAATACAATTCCATTATTAAAGAATTTTCACCAAATCATTAACGGTTTTGCAGTATTAAATATCAGTTTGAGGCTTTTTTCAAGCCACAGGAATACCAAATAACTTGTCTTTTAATCACTCGTGAAGTCATATAAGCCCTTTTTAATGAGATGCAGGTTATCTAGATCAAAGGCTAACAACTACCCCTTTGAGATATCAAGTCTCCAGTGACTCATTTCACCTCCTGATGGATTTGCTTTTCAAAATGCAGTAATGAAAATATATTTGAAATAAACAGTAACAAATAAGCAGGATGCAAATAATATACCCATCACTGCCCCTAAGGCAGTGGTCAGCAAACTCATTAGTCAACAGAGCCAAATATCAACAGTACAACGATTGAAATTTCTTTTGAGAGCCAAACTTTTTAAACAAACTATATAGGTAGGTACATTGTTAACTAGGGTACTCCTAAGCTGGCCTTTGCTAAAAACGTCCTCAATCTGATTGAGGTACGTTCACTGAGGTCGACCCCTTTCAACTTTCCCATTCACACTCATATACTTGTTTCAGATAGACGAGTGTGGATGGGAGAGTTGGAAGGAGTCGACCTCAGCGAACGTACCTCAAAACGATGTACCTCCCCCGCGCTGTGTATCCTGTCGCTTGACTGACCAACACCCCCCACTTCTTCAAAAGACTCGCCCAGGCCGAAAACCAACTTCTGCGCATGGGCCACCAAGTTTCAATCGCACTGTACGTGTGTGCCCGCACGTGGTATTTTGTGGAAGAGCCACACTCAAGGGGCCAAAGAGCCGCATGTGGCTCTCGAGCTGCGGTTTGCTGACCACTGCCCTAAGGGATCCATAAATTAATGGGAAAATAAGGTCAATAGAATATGCATGTTATTAGTTTTGGGTGAAGATCAATTAGGAAACAAACCAGAATGAAAGTTGTGCAAAGCAGACTCTAAGAAATGGCATTTGAGCTGAGTTTTGCAAATTGTGTAGTTTATAAGAAAATAGGAAATTCTGTATCTTATCTGGGGGATAAGGAAAGAATCTAATTGGCAGTAAAAGATGATGAAGGGAAGTGGAAACAAAGATGGTTTGCACCCAATCTTAGAAGGCCTCAAACGCCAATCTTAAAAGTGTTTGGAGGGGACCAAGAAACCAACAATGTGCTACTGAAAATTTCACAGTTGGAATGACCAGTTCCGGCAACAGCATAGACAACCTTTGAACACTATCGGACTTAGGGGGCCAAATGCCCTCAAAGTTGAAAATCTGTGGACAGCTTTTGACTCCCTAGTCGTACCTCGAAGGGGATTGTTTCCAGGGCCCTCTGCAGATACCAAAATCGACAGATGCTCAAGTCCCTTATTTAATAAAGCATACAGATGGCTCTCCACATCCATGGATTCCCAACCACGAAAACAGTATTTTCAATCCATAGTTGGTTAGATCAGTGGATGTGAAACCCAGGGACACTGTAGCTACTGAAAAAAATCAGCGTATAGGTGGGCCTGCATAGTTTAAACCCATGTTGTTCAAGTGTTAACTGTATAAGAGAATGGGAGGGTTTAGAGGCAAGAAGAGAAGTTATACAGAAAAGGTCCTAGGACTAGCATAGTGCCTGACATAGCCAGACACTTATGAGAGCTCAGATGAAATGGCTAGTAACTGAGTTCAAGACCGATAGAAAAATAAGCCAAACTCCAGGGCAAGGCTTCTGTGAATAGAGTTTGGCAAAAGTAGGTTTACAGTTGTGAGCATGCAAAACAGAGTTTATTCTTGTATAACCTATATCAGGTCACACCCAGATCAGGTCAAATAGAAGCTCAAGGAAAATGTACCTGAAAAGGTCGATTTACAGGAAACTTGGGGGAAAGTCTTTTTTTTTTTTTTAATATATTTTATTGATTTTTCAGAGAGGAAGGGAGAGGGATAGAGAGCTAGAAACATCTATGAGAGAGAAACATCGATCAGCTGCCTCCTGCACAACTCCCACTGGGGATGTGCCCGCAACCAAGGTACATGCCCCTGACCGGAATCGAACCTGGGACCTTTCAGTCTGCAGGGCGATGCTCTATCCCAGCAGTGGGCAAACTACGGCCCGCTTGAAATGAACTAAAAAAAAAAAAAAAAAGACCGTACCCTTTTATGTAATGATGTTTACTTTGAATTTATATTAGTTCACACAAAGACTCCATCCATGCTTTTGTTCCAGCCCTCCGGTCCAGTTTAAGAACCCATTGTGGCCCTGAGTCAAAAAGTTGGCCCACCCCTGCTCTATCCACTGAGCCAAACCGGTTAGGGCTGGGGGAAAGTCTTATACCTAGAGACTCTAAGCTGTTTTTCCAGCCCTGATGATGGACTTTTCAAAATGCAGTAATGAAAATATATTTGAAACAAACGGTAACAAATATTGGAACAAGTCATTAAAAAAAAAAATTACACCCCTCTATTGCTCAAACTAAAAAAGGGGGTAAGGGGAAAAAATCAAGTCTAACAACTAGAAACCCTTATCACCTCATAGAGGTCTCTATGCTCTATGATTTTCTAAAGCTAAGTTGTCCTTTTTGATTCAATTTCCCAAGAAACTTGGACTTACCACTTAGTGGGTATATTGTCCTGTGCTGGGCAAAGAGAGGGATTCAAACTCTGGGTCTCGCTGAGAAACATCAAAAATTGAACCCACAACCTTGACATATTGGATCGACACTGTAACTGAGCTACCCGGCCAGGGCTTACCTTGACTATTTTTAAATTTGGGTGTGATAAACTAGAAATCCAGGTTAGTTATATACACAATTAAAAATAAAATTGTGATCTGCAGACTGGCAGATATGCATCAAATGGGCACTTGTTAAAAATGCAAAATCTCAGGTTCCACCCTCCATCTTATGAGTTAGGATCTGTATTTTACAAGATTATCTGAGAATTCACAAAGATTTTTTTTTTAGATATTTTATTTCTATATTTATTTATTTATTTTTTAGAGAGAGGAAGGGAGAGGCATAGAGAGATAGAACACCAATGAGAGAGAAAAATCATCAATCGGCTGCCTCCTGCATGCCCCCTACTGGGGATAAAGCCTGCAACCCAGGCATGTACCCTAACCAGGAATCCAAATGGTGATCTTTGGTTCCTTGATCAATGCTCAACCACTGAAACACGCGGGCCAAGCCATAAGCATGTTCTTAACCTTTACTACACATTAATATTTTAATATAACAAAACAAAACAAAACAAAAAGCACCACTAGGGATAGCTTTAATTGTTTTGGGGTAGAATCTAGTTTTTGTTTTTTTGGGAAAACTCAGGTGATTGTAAATGCTCTGTACCAGTGGTTAATCTTTACTTTACATTCAAATCATCTGCGGAACTTAAAAAACAAACAAAAAACAAACCCCTCTAAGCTACATCCCAAACTAATATGATTCTAAGATGCAATTAAGATGCAGACCTACTGCTCTCTAATAAAGATTGACTATGGGCTTCTATTATAGAATAAAGCTAAAAAAAAAAAAGACTTCCAACAGCAATTTCAAGTCCAAGGACCTCCGAGGGTTCTATGTAAGATGCAAATCTAACTTGCCAGTTAAGTGCAGATCTAACTTAAAGGTAACTGGGATATTAACCACAGTTGAATGACTGCCAAGTGTTAAACTCAAAGGAAGATGGAAAGTCTAATGTTGCCTGTGACTTGCCTAACTTCAGTTTAGTTCAAGACTTTGATAGAGGGAAATTGATGCTTATTCCAAATGAAAAATAAATCTAAGAGAAATGTCACATCTTTACTTACCACCATTCCAATATTGTTCTGTTGCCCACCAGTTGCCATCTCCACACATTCATCTATCACAAGATTCATAAAGGGATCAAATCCCCGTAATATTCCTTGGACATGTCTGCCACCATTTAATTTCACTATAAAAAAGGAAAATGAAGTTTTAATAAAACTGGCCATTAACTATCAAGTATTCATTAACCGTTTGGCTGCTGACGTATTTTTTCAGACATATGCCAAAATTGCGGCACTAATTGCGCATGTATGGGAAAAAATGTAAAACACTTTTTATACAATAAACTCACTTGTATTGCTTTGCAACAACAAAAATTAAAAAATACCAATTGTTTACATAAATTTGTTTTAAATAAGAAGAGTGCGATAGTGCTCCTTAGCAGTCAAACGGTTAAAAATTAGGTGGAGCCCAGCAGATGTGGCACAGTGACTGAGCGTCCACCTATGAACCAGGAGGTCCCGGTTTGATTCCAGGTCAGGGTGTGTGCCCAGTTTCCAGCTTGCTCCCCACTGTGCAGGAGGCAGCAGGCCAATGATTCTCTCTCATCATTAATGTTTCTATCTCTCTCCCTCTCCTAAAAGAAAAAAAAAAAAAATTAGGTGGAGTAAAACCCAGGTACATGAGATGTGCAATCCACTATCCTTATTATATGCTAAGCACTGGGCTAAACATTTTACATTTACTTCCACATTTAAACTTACAAGAATCCTGTAGAATTATCCCAACTTTTTACGAGGGAACTGAAGTATAAGGCTTTTAAAAGTAACTGGTTCAAGGTTATACAGCTATTCAAACGGAAAGTTGCTTACCTATCTCTAAAGCCATGATCTTAACCCCTACAAACTTCAAATACTATGCAGGTCAGATTTTTAGTTCTTGTCTATGTCCTTTGTTAAAAAAAAAAAGATAAAATTTCAAATATCACAAAATAGAAAAATCCTGAGGGAGGGCTTATAAAAACTTTTGAAAAGTCTGAAGTTCTGTGCAATTTATTAAATTGCAAAAATTAGGCAAATAAAACTGTCTAGTTAGGATTTTGCTAGACCTGCTTCATTCATCAGAGGCTCTGTGTGCTTTAAATCTTTATAAAGTTGCTCCAAACACTGTACACTGCCAAGACATTTGTAAAGAGCAACTGAATAATTAAAAACAAAAAAGAAAACTTACATGACAACTTCTTGTCCATAAACCTGAAACAGCAAAGAGATAAAGATTATATAACTGCTAAAATTATATTTACACAATAGGAATAACGAAATTTAGTACTTATACAAAGCAATGTATTTTGGGAAGAAGCAAGAAAATAAATAAAGTTAATGTACATTAAATTGAGTCTTTATACTGCCGTGAATTACAAAAACATTCTCGTTGTTCAATATTGACCCAATTTCCTATGGCTGGATTTTATAGCCATAATAGAATAACAAATATTTTATTTTATTTTGGTTACTTCGAAAACCAAACAAAATTTTGAAGAAATTGGAAGTTGTAATCAAACCACATCCAACCCAATAGCTATATTTGAGACAATAAGTGGTGTTTTACTTAATATTAAGGTTTTATTCTTCAATACATAATGATAGTTTAGCAAAATAATTGCATATTTTGAAGATTTAAACAATTTAAACAAGAAAATCCCATCTCAGCAGAGTACTATACCGGATCTAGTACAGGATGGTTAACAAAGGGTTCGAGATCTTCAAGTCACGGGGGAGAGGGTGGGGGGACATGGGGCCGGGACCTCGGCTAGGGCCTAGGCCAAATCGGGGAAAGCCAGGGGCCTAAGCTGCCTTGGGTAACCATGCCGACCCAGCAAAAATGCGATTTCTGAGCGGGCTCAGGCCCGGAAGCGTGGGACCCTGGCTGCGACCCGCGCGGCCGAGGACCCGAATGCGCACGCCAGGCGCACTGACGGGAAATGGAGGGGCATACAAAGAAGCCGCCAGTCACCCGCGGCCCGCGCAGATACTTACTTTTTTAACTCAGGAGGGTGAGCTTTGCTCATGGTGGCCAAGCAAGCTCAAAGATACTTCCAAAGGGAATTCGGCGCTGCTCTGGCGCTCCCGCGGTAGGCCCGGCGTTTTGCGTCTGACGTCACCGATCCGTTAGCCAATCGGTTGCCGGCAACTTTCACATTTCACCTCGCGATACTAAGGGGAAGCCTGAGCGTGTAGACTAGTCCCGAGCTTCCGGTTGCGTCGCCAGCGATTGGCCAGGGCAGAGGGGTGTGGCCTCGCTAAGCCCTTGATTTCGTTTTCTCTTCTGTAAGATTGACGTACAGGTCCCGACTCTTTATTTTTTAAAAATATATTTTATTGGTTTTTTACAGAGAGGAAGGGAGAGGGACAGAGAGTTAGAAACATCGATGAGAGAGAAACAGCGACCAACTGCCTCCTGCACATCCCCCACTGGGGACGTGCCCGCAACCAAGGCACATGCCCCTGACCAGAATCGAACCCGGCACCCTTCAGTCAGCAGGCCGATGCTCTATCCACTGAGACAAACCGGCTAGGGCAAGTCCTGACTCTTTTAAATAACACTTGTTAATCCCTAATTTTAGTGGATTGCGTCGTTTATTTTATTAACATCTAGCAAATGAAAATAAGCTCTAGCTAGGTGGGCCCCTGGTAATTTTTTGTAATGTATTCCCACAGCATATTGCTTGTTAAGCTTAGGGTTTAACATCGCAATTAGTGACCTCTGCACCAGGATAGGGTGACATGCCTCAGTTCTCAATGATTTGAATCCAGAGCCCGGAAGTAGATTCCCGATGGGATGGTCTTGCTATTCTTGCAACACTGCCTACGGATCCCTACTTAAATGTGAAATGTACCTTGATCCCATACATAAAACGTGAAGCACAGCACACAAACTCTCCGAGGTATTGATTTTCAAGTCAAAAGTGTTAAGTGTAAAACAAGTCTCTGACTTGTTCTCAGTTAAGTTACCCAAAATAGGGGAATCCTCATTAATGAATGAAATACAATAGGGATTAGAGAAGACTTGGACAAAAATAGAAAAGCCTTGGTGATTCTAAGTACAGCTGGTTCTCTTAAAATTGAATTCATTCCTAATATTCAGGAATGGCTCTACAGGGGCGGGCAAAAATAGATTTATAGTTGTGAGTACACGAAACACAGTCTTTATTCTTATTTATTAATTATTGTATTTTCCATATGAACTGTAAACCTACTTTTGCCCACCCCTGTATTGAAATGCCAATGATAGTAAAGACTTAGTTAAACGAATATATTTTGTATTCTCTTGGTACTCAAAATCCTAGACACTGCATCTTCTCTTGAGGGGTCATAACAGTATCTTTTCTACCTCTTGCTGTTAGTGTTTAGTTGAAACTAGAAACCTGATATATTAGTAGATAATGAATCTTTTTTTTAGTTTTATAGTTTCTATCTTTTTACTAGTACATTAAGGGACTTCAAGTAAAAGTGCCCTCGTCTGCCCTTGAAATCTTTCCCATTTACAACAACCAGGTCCTGCATCCAAACCATAACACATAATTTTCACTCTTCTGGACCTCATAAGAAACTTACTTCACACATTACAAGGAAAAGCATTCTTAGAAAGTTATATATTCACTACCCAGATACAAAAACACAATAGTAGAGGAAAATTAAACCTTATTTATTTTTTAAAACCAGACCATTAGGAAAATATATCACAGTCTTGAAACAGCAAACAGACAAGCTATTTTATCATTTCAAGTAATAAGTTGGTAAAAAGACAGCAGCTCCTTATCAAAACAGTAAGGTGCGAGAGCTGGGGTAGGAACACTGTATGTTGCAAAGGGCCCGGCAAAAGTGGTATTTGGTAATGGGGGGGTTGCCCCTCTTTTTTCTCCCTTGATCTTCCTGTTGCCAAAAGATTGTCTCAGTAGGGCTCTGTTATTTGAGGGGGCTACCTAAGCAATACTGGATTCAGGTTTCATTCCTGAAAACCAGGTTTCTCCCAAATCCAGTACTTCATAACTCCGAATGAAGCAGCAACAGTTCCTCTCTCACTGTTTATTCCTGGATATTGGTATACAGCACCATCAAAACCCTCTTGCCCTTCAAGGTGGAGTACCACGGCAAGATGGTCCCGTCACTGCTGCCGACAGGCTTAGGACCCATCACGGCAGCCAGTGAGAAGGAAGGTCTGCTTCCATGTCCAGGCTGACATTGCCTCTCATGTTTCTGTAGGTTTCCGAGCTGAAAGGTGTAATGTGTGAGCATTTAAATGCATGTCCACATCTTGGACAGAAACGATATCTATCCAAAGGAACCTTTTCAAGTTCAGGGCTGTGTCTTCATGTGAGGGAAATGCCTGCTGCCAGGATAAGCATTTGCCACATAAAATTTAGGCCCTCAGAAACGCTCTGACCCAAACTTTAGCACCAGTTTTTCCCCCATTTCACTTTCTAGGAATAAACAAAAAAGAACCCTGTCCAGAGGCAAGTGACACATGCCTTAAACTTGCTGCCATCCTTAATTTCTTCATCCCTACACTGCTTAAAAGACCAACATTCGCACTCTTCATTTTAAACAGGTTCCTGCCCTCAGCCTCCATGGCCAATGGCAAAGACTGCTATTTCTGAATGGATGAGAGAGACTCCTTCATCTTCTTGGTCATGGTGGGAATGAGGTTCATATGGTCATCCACGCACTTGGTCACACAACTCTCCAGCTGCCGCTTCACCTGATGCTCTTTGCTCCCTGCATCTATGGAGTCTTTGGCTTTGTCGTTGCAATGCATGGTGCACCGGGCCAGGCGGTCCTGTGGCAAGAAGGAAGAGAACAGAGAAGGCTGAGAAGTTGGCCTCTATTTACCGACTGCTTATCACGTGCCAGGCCCTGTGCTACATACAGGTAAGTCCTCTCTTAACATTGTCATGGAACTGCGGTGAAACGATGTATAACGATGCCAAGTTTACCACAGGCTAATTCGTATACAGGAGTCAAGTTCCTCTGGTTTCTTATCCACGTTATAACAAATGACGTTGTTTGAAGACCTGCTGTGTTTTGGCTTGACATGTATTATCCTGATGAATTAAAGAGACCCTATGGTGAAATTGTATAGAATTATCCTGATTGAAACAGAGGGTGGCACCAGCAGGGCCCAGACAAAGCATTACTAGAAAGCAGGTAAATGACAGAATAAATTGTACAGAAGCCCTTTCCAGGAAGTGAGAAGTAACTAGAGACCAGTTACTCAATTACAGAAAGACTTACAAACATCTTGAGTATTTAATGTCTGTCCTTGCTATAGAAAAACACTCAAAAATTACTAATTGACTGTCTACTATGTGTCAGGTACTCTCCTAATGGGGGATACAGCAATGAATAAAACAGGTAAAGTCCTTGCCCTTATAGAACTTATATTCCACTAGGGGTAGACAGACCAACAAAATAAATAAGTGGAGATGTTGAGGAAACCGCTGGACATATGAATTTGGAGATCAGGAGTGTAGTTGGTCTAAAGATATGTAGTTGTCAGCAAATAGATGATAATTATAACCATGAGACCAGAGAACTAGATAGAAAAAAGGTTCAAGAACAGTCCTGGGGATTCCCATGTTCAGAGGCTGGAAAGGGGAAAAGCCGGCAAAGGAGGTTGTAAAAGGATGGCTAAGGAGAGAGGCAGAAAACCAGGAAAGTGAGGTGTCCTGGTAGCCAACTAAATAAAGTGTTTCAAGGAGGGCAAAAGTGATGCACTGTGTAAATGACACAGGTAAGTTGAGTGAGATGAGGAATGAGAAATGACCACTGGATTTAGCCCAATGGAGAGGAGTGGCAAGCGCAGTTCTGGCACAGGAGAAGAGTAAGTCTGAGTGGAGAGGGCTGAAATGTTATACAGCAGTTCAGGAGTCAAAATTTCAAAGACCCTATTTATAAAATTAGGTGTCAAAATAAACACAAAAATCTTTTTGGAGTTACTGTATTTTAGAGACATTATTCCTATCAGCAATTTTAAAGAATTTTATGTAGAATATAAAAATGTATCACATTAGATATAATTTATCCATGTGAACAGAATCCCAGACTATGAAGAACTGAATAGAAATGGGTCCTGCTTCCCCCAAATTCCAGAAAAATATACTCAGAGGAGGGGAGTAAAATGAAGTTGTGGCTACCCTTTGCTCTAGACAGGGATTTGGGGGACTTCTAGTGACCTCAGAGGGGCTTGTGAGGCAGGGAGTCAACATTAATAACGCTTCATATAAATGACTGCTCTTTAGTGACATGGGGGCTACCTTCTGTGCATATCAAGTAGGGGCTACACCCAGAGTGTGTAAAACCGTAAGATGATGGTAGGATCTTGCTCTAATCTGTATGCTTTAAGACTAGTCTATTCCATTTTCCTGGGGATTCTGCTATTATAGGAATGAATGAATATATGTTTTAGAAAGATCTGTACTATACAGTACACATACATATTATATTTGGTAACTACAGAAAAAATAAAAAAGCATAGGGCTGTTGGTTACGAACTCCCTCCGTAACTCATGTTTCTATGGGAAATACAGCGCTCGATCTCCAGTATTGTGTCCAAAATTTCAAACTCTGTGAAGACTGGTTGGCCATAGCACTGGGGTATTGCTCACCTGGAACTTCTCCAACTCGCTGGTAACCAGGGCCTGGGCTTGAGCCAGAGGTGCGTGGCAGCGCTCAATGCACTGGTGCACCTGCTGCATGGACGCCTGGCTGTCCTCACAACAGTCAGCGCTGCACCGGAACATGAGGCCCTGGGAAGGGAGGGCAGAGAGAGGTCAGGTAGGGTCAGAGATGACCAATGAAGTGCAACAGGGGCTGGGGGAAGGTCTATATATTTGCACCTCTCCTCAGACCAGCCATCGGGACGTTAAGACCACAAACGGGAAAACTATCCTCAGTGCCTCGCAGAGTGTTTCATAGCCTTCTTGCTTCTATCTCAAGTGGCAACTGTTGCGTCCAGGGCGGGGTGGACACGGAGGTGGCGGTGGGTCAGAGGAGCCAAATTCTGAGAACCAGGTGCCCAAACCACAGAGTTCAGAGGCCAGCAACCTAGTAATCTAAGTTGCAACCCATCCATTAATTAATGGCAAGGGAAACTCCCAATCCTGTCAGGGAGGCAGGACCAACACCACAAAACATCAGGGGCTCAAGGCGGAACAACACATAAACCAGCGCTCGGTGTCCCGAGACCTGGGCATGACCTGGCCACTGAGGGGCGGAGCGCTCTCGCCTTCCGGTCTCTCACCTGGGCTGGGCTTTCCCCGCGGGCAGCGCCCGTGCACAGGGGCCGGGCCAGAGGGGAAGGTGGCGGGGGCAGCACCTCACCCCGGGGCTCGCTAGCCCCGGTCCGGCCCCCTTCGTTGGGTTTTCTACTAAGATTTTCTTATTTTAATAAACGGCCTTGAGCCTGGCGAGGACGCACACATTTCATCGGCTCGGCCGAAGCGCTAGAGTTTCTGCCCGAGGGCCAGGCCTGCTTCCGGGGGCGCCACAGCGACCCCAGGGGCCCCGACTGGGCTCTGCGGGGAGGGGCCGGGAGTCGCGGGAAGGGGCCGGGCATGCCGGACCGCACCGCAGGGGTTCCTTCGAATCGGCTCCCGCCCGCTAC